CTCTTCAAAACGAAGACCCAACACCACAGGATGGTTGGGAAAAACAGGCAAAAACAGTAACTTTTGGCGCTCCGCGCGCCGAAAGCTAATGTTTATGTGGTTTTTCTTCTTCGAACATCGGAGGGGCGAGGTATCGAAGCTTCCCCCCGCTGGCCAAAGGTGGCCCCAGACAGGGAGGGCTCCAAGGTCGCACGAGGCAGCCCAGGAGGTCTCGAGACGCCTCCCCGCACGCAGCACGAGGCCGCGAGTCTGCCCCAAGGCTGCTCTCCCGGTGGCCAAACTCCTTGGCAGCCTAATATTAGGTCGGGCGAGACCCTCGGAAGGTCCCGGGGAGACCCCCGAGAGGCCAAACTCCTTGGCAGCCTAATGTTAGGTCGGGCGTGTCCCCCTACAGGGGGATTGTGGGCGAAAAATGGAAAAATACCCCAAACATGCACCCACAAATAGCAAAGAAATGCTCAGAAAATCGTCCCCCGAACTAATCATTTTTAACTATATTTGAGATATTCCTCCTGCAGAGGGACATGCCCGACTTAAACCTAGTGCGTTCCCAATGTTGGTTGGCATCTCACCCTTTCCTTTCCGATGGGTCTCTGAGGCCTCAAGATGGCCCCAGGATCGCCCAAGCGAGCATCAAGAGGGGCCCAGAAAACCCATGACGGCCGCAAGTGAGCCCAAGAGCGCCCCGAGGCCGTCCCAAGAGGGCTCCCAGGAGGCGAGCATTCGGGCTCTGACGCGGCAAGGCTAATGACTTCAAGTCCCGCCCTTCTTTGACCGGTGCCCTCCAGGATGGCCTCAATAGGGCGCCCAAGGCCTCAACAATGACCCAACGAGGGCCCCGCGGGCTCCCAGCATGGCCCCAAGAGGGCAACAAAATGGCTCCAAGAGTCTTACAAGAGGCTTCTCAAGCGAAAGATATGCGGCTATCTTCATGATTGACTCTTGCTGTCGTCGTCGCCGTGTGGCCGTCATCCTCCTCATCATCCTCCACCTCCTCATCAAGGTAATCACGAATCTAATCATCATTGTCCTCGAAAGCGTAGTCGTCATCCTCCAACTGTTCTTGACATTCCCCATAACCTAAGATGGTGTCCTTGTTCTTACTCAGACCGCGTCGACTCCTTCCTCATCCGCTCCTTTTCCATATAAACGACCTATCCCCGTCGCACCCCGAGGCAAGTTTTTAGAGCAGGCCAGGCGTTTCGCCTGAGACCTCCGACCCTGAAGCTTTCACAAATGATGATTTCGCAAATGGAGGGCGGGTGGTTTTCAAAATGTGACTCTCGCCTTAGCGCCGCGCACACTCGCTGTAAACATTTACAAGAATTTCACGGACTGAGGACGGGTCGTTTTCAAAAAGGGGCTCTCTCTCCTCCTTAGCACCGCGCACATTCGTTTTAAACATGTGCAAAAATTTCACGGATTGAGAGCGGGTCGTTTTCAAAATGTGGCTCCCGCCTTAGCGCTCGTCTTCCACATTCAGAAGAGTTTCACGGATTGACGGCGGTTCCTTTTCAAAATGTGGCTCTCGCGTTAGCGCCGCGCACATTCGTCTACAAAATTTGCAAGAGTTTCGAGGATTGAGGGTGGTTCCTTTTCAAAATGTGATTCTCGCCTTGGCGCCTTGGACATTCGTGTTTCAAACATTGCAGAAAAGTTTCTCGGGTTCCCATAATCAGCATATCACTAATGGTGTTGTTAGGAAGGGTTCAGCATTATGAGGGCGCAACAGTTGCGTTGATTCGCTGTGTTGAAGTCTCAGGAAAGGTGTTCTAACACGACTCAAGATCGTCAAGACGCATCAGTCAGGTCGATCCGTGGCGCTGGAATCCCGAGAACATTGATTTAGCATGCTTCAGGGTCCCCAAACGGTTGTCTTCCAACTCCCTCAGTGGAAATGAACAGTTGTCAGGGCCCATTAGGAGGGAGCTTGGAGGAATGCTTTAGTCCAACATCGTTGATGACTCTTGGGTTTCTACTGGTCCTCCTCCTCCTCTTCCACCTCAGCCTCACTCATACTCAGGCTAACTCATACTCAGACACACTCATACTCAGGCTCACTCATGCTCATACTCAGTCGCGTCACTATCTCACTCAGATTCACATGCTCAGAATCACTCATGCTCAGACTTACTCACACTCAGACTCACTCATCACCCAGACTCACGCATACTCAGGCACACTCTTCCCCACTCTGACTCATTCAGGTCACTTTCTCCTTCAGATTCACTCAGACTCTCTCTCTCTCTCTCTCTCACACATGCATTGTAAGGATATCTAGGGCAAAGCGCTGGTTTTAGCACTGCGAAGGGGGGAAAGCGCAAGGGATCAAGACATCCCAAGGTTCGCGCCCGAATTGTGGAGACGTTTCAGGCGGTTTGCAACTCAGCGTGCTCAACATCCTTTGGTTTCGGAGTCGATGTTGAGGATGTCTCTGGCGAGGCGCGGGCTTTAGCAATCTGAAGGGGGGGCACCAGGAGTCAGGACAGTCCAGGATTCGCGCCCAGATTGTGGGGACGTCTCAGGCGGTCTGCTCGCTTGCGTGCTCAACATCCCCTGGTGTCGGAGCTGATGTTTAGGATATCTCCGGCGAGGCGCTGGTTTCAGCCATCCCAAGGGGGAGTGGGGGGGGCGCCAGAGATCAGGACATCCTGGGGTTCGCACCCAGATTGTGAGGATGTCTCAGGCGGTTTGCTCGTTGGCGTGCTCAACATCTTTTGGCTTCGGAGCAGATGTTGAGGATGTCTCTGGCGGGGCGCGGGCTTTAGCACTCCGAGGGGGGGGGGGCACCAGGAGTCAGGACATTCCAGGATTCGAGCCCAGACTGCGGGGAGATCTCAAGCGGTTTGCTCGTTTCCGTGTTCAACATCCTGTTTTCGGAGCAGTTTGTGAGGATGCCTCAGGCGATGCGATGGTTTCAGCAATCCCAAAGGAAAGCCGGCAGGGGGAATGACACGGGCCCGTTCGCACCCAGATTGAGGGGATGTCTCAGACGGCTCGCTCGTTCGCGGGCTCAATTTCGTCTGGTTTCGGAATAGAGTTTGAGTTCCGCACCCCAAGGGGGTGCAGCCAAGGGGTATGACACGGACCCGTTCGCGCCCAGATTGTGGGGTTTGGGTTTGCCTGGTTGCCTGGTTGGGTGGCCAGCATCCTCTGCTGTCGGAGCAGATTGTAAGGATGCCTCAGGCGAGGCGCTGGTTCCAGCACCGCAAAGGGAAGCCGCCAGGACATCTGGCACGGACCCGTTCGCGCCCAGGTTATCTCACCCATCACACTCATCCCCAGACGCACTCTAACATACTAATACTCACTCATACCCAGACGCACTCGGATTTAGACTCACTTGCATTCGAGCTCGCCCGCACTCAGGTCCACTCACACTTAGACTAACTCACACTCGGATGCACCCTCGTTCAGTTTCGCCAACCCTAAGACTCACTCGTACGCGAACTCACTCAGACTCACTCAGACCTAGATTCACACATACTCAGACTAAATCACACTCAGACTCACTCACACTCAGACTCACTCATACTCAGATTCAGACTCTCACTCATAACCAGAACCACTCACACTCAGACTTGCTCACACTCAGCCTTGCTCACAACCGGACCCACTCACGCTCAGACCTACTGGCAACCAGACTCAGACTCACCCATACTCAAACTCAATCATTGACGAGATCACTCACTCTGGCAGATTCACTCATACTCCAATCCAAACACTCACACTCAGATCAGTCACATCTCCTGACCTCCCTCCTACTCGCCCTCCCTCACACTCAGATTCACTGAAACTCAGACTTACTCAAACTCACTCTCGCCATATTCAGACTCACGCACAATCAGACCCACCCACACTCAGACTCACTTCTGATCAGACTCGCTCACACTCAGACTCACCCATAACCGGATTCAGTCATCATCAGACTCACAAACACACACTTAGACTCACTCGCACACAGATTAGCTCACTCACTGACTCACTCCTACTCAGACTCAGACTCGCCAAACTCATTCTCAGACCCACTCAGACTCAGACTTGCTCACACTCAGACTCACTCGCACTCTGACTCCCTCGTAGTACTCAGACTCGCTCATACTCAGACACACCCGTACTCCGAGTCGCTCGTGCCTAGACTCGCGCAAAATCAAATGCAATCACTCCTGGGCACACTCACACTCAGACTCACTCACACTCAAATCACTCACGCTCAATCACAACCGTCTCTATTTTGATTGTTCAATGCTCCCTCGCTCTTCACATGCGTTTCCCCCGTCTCTCCTGGACAAATGTCCAGAGGAGGAGGAGGAGGAGAAGGAGAAGGGTATCACTGAAGTCGTGGGTGTCGTCGTCATCGTCGCGCGCGTTATCTACGCGGACTCGCTCTCACACCCAGATGCTCACAGGCAGCCTTCCTCAGCAAGACATGACAGGAGTATAAGATGCGCATACTCGGATATCCGCGTCGAGCAATTTCTCCTACCTCTCCTGACACCAGCCTCGCCATCCCCCACTCCTCCTCCCCCTCCTCCTGCTCCGCTCTCCACCGCCTCCTCCCCCTCCTCCTCCTCATTCTTGCTGATCTTCGACGACAGGCTCAGCAGTGTCGCTCCCTCCCGGGCATGCTCGGGCCGAATCGGAGCTTCGGCCCGCCGGCGGCTGGGGCACCCGTCTCCTCCACCGCACACCGCTGCACTCTGCCCTGATCAGAGCGACTCCGCCGGCCAGCGTTTCTGCATGGTTTTGCGGGGAGACGCAAGGCCTAAAGTCAGGTCGGGCCTGTCCCCCTCCAGGCCGATCTTCGAGAAATTGAAAATAGCCAAAAAATGCTGTTAAAAAAATCGTTCCCCGACTATTTGTTGACCAGTTTTGAATGTTCCTCCTGTAGAGGGAAAGGCCCGACGTAAGCGAAAGAGCGTCCACATCTAGAAAAGAGACGAGACGGGGAAACAGACCTGTTTTGCTGCTGCCTGCAGTGCACAAGCCACGACGGGCCTCTACAGGACTCCCGCATCCGCTGCGTGCAGCATCGCGAAGACGCCGACGAGCACATTCTGCATGAGCGTGGACACGACTGTGGGGACCCAAAGAATCTACACCACCACCACCACCACCACGTCGATTCCTCCTCTCTCCTTTGCCCTCTTCCTCTCCTCTTTCCTGGGAGAGGGAGGGCGTGAGGGAGGTGGTGGTGGTGTACAGTTTCGGGCCCCCCAGATTGTGCTTGCAAACCCGGCGGAAACCGTCAGCCTCAGCTGCTGTTCTGTCCCTATGTCGGCGACGATCTGCATAACGTTTGACGTCATCGGCGAGTACAGCGCCAAGGTGATGGTCTCCCGGAAGATACGCTCGATGGGCATCGTCCACACCATGAGCGCTATTACAGTGGCGGTCGCGTACCGGCTACCGAGTGCCTGTGCTATCACGATCAGGTCGGCCTTGTTGAGCGCGAGGTTGCCGTAGTAGCCCACTAGGAAGTACATGCCGGGCTTGAAGGGCGCGCCCGCGGCCCACAGGGTGGCGTCGAGCACGGCTGGTATCCGCACGCCCATGGCATTCATCAGGAGCGCAGACATGCAGATGTGCAGCAGCGGCTGCCTTAACACCGCCTTCGTCGCCTTCCAGCCACCGCCCGCGCCCGCCGCGCTGCTGCGTGGCACGCCCTGGACTGCGCCATCTGCACCCTTGCCGCCCGCCCTGTCCTTCAGGTCCGCCTCCTGACCTCTGATGGCCGGCGACACCTGTGCCATCTCGACGTCGGATGACGCCTCGGCGGTGTGAGCATCGCCGCAGAAATGCTCCGCGATGCCATAGAGGCCGCCCTGGCAGATCCACACGTTGCCCCCCATGTCCCACAGCACGGCGCATGCAAGCGACCTCTCCGCCAGGTGCGGCGTCGAGAGCAGCAGCGGGTACAGGAAGGACAGCATGCCGCCTTGGCTCATCAGCATGAGCCAGCCCTGCCTGTGGCGCTGGTCCGGCGCCAACGAGCGCGCCATAGCCAGGGCCACCAAGAACCAGGCGGCGTGGACGACCGTGCTGACAGCAGCAATCGTGTACAGCGAGCTGTCCATCTGGACGATCCACACGGCCCGCATCAGGAACGCTGGCATCAGCACCTTGAAGCACACGTTCCGGAACTTGGCCGCCAGCTGGGCGGGGAGCACCTGGCACCGCTGCACCAGCAGCCCGGAGCCGATCAGAGCGAACACGCGCAGCGCAGAGACGCAAGCGGAGGCCAGCCCCGCCGCCCGCGAGAGCACGGCAGCGGGCTCGGGGCTGGCGCCGCCCACGCTGGAGGCGCTGCTCTTGAGGAGCAGAAAACTGCATGAAAGCATACACTGTCAGAACTCTGCGCGGATTCCTCGAATCTGCGCTCAACCCCCCTCCCCGGCGCCGAAGTAGGGCGCGAACTCATGGGGTGCGGCAAGTGGAGGGGGGAGAAAGGTGTCCTTTTCAACCCCTGAAGGCCCCCTTCTAGGCCCGAAAGGGCCCCCTTGGGACCCTGAAGGGCTCCATTTTCGGCAGCCCTCGCTAGCCCCCATGTCTCGCCCCCCCCATTACGCGAGGCCCAACGGAGGCGCCGCCAGGGGGGCCCCACGCCGATCCCAGAAATATCCGCGCGGACCTCCGCAAGCTTCTGCTCGTGCCGTCTTGCTGCTTCTCGATGGTCGCCGCGCCGCCACCCGCAGCCGCCGGCGGCGTCCGCGGCGCCCCCGACGGCGCAGCCCTGCCTCGGAGCCCGCCCTCCTCCCGGCCGCACGCAGGAGTGGCCCCCCAGGCAGGAGCGACCGCTGGAGCGCGGTTTTCGCAGGGAGCCCACAGAGGACGTAGGCGCCCAACCACGCACACGGACACGCAAACGCGTACCGCAGGGATGCACTCTACAGGTGATGGCAGTGGACAGGGAAGCCTTCGATATGAGGAATCCAGGGTCCGGAAGCCAGTGGAAAACCCATCGTGGATTGGCCATGGAAATCACCGCCGCCCCCATCAGATAAAGAACCCTCCAGGGTCCGAAACCTCCTGGGCACGTTCCTTCACGGACGCCCCCACCGCAAGGAATGCGAGGGCCTCGGGGGGCCAGGTCCGACACCCTGCGAGCGGGGGGCGCGGCCCGCGAAGGTGGCCAGGGACGAGCCGAATGGGAAGGACGTAAGGGTAACCTTGGAAAGCCGCTCGTCCTTACTACAGGGCAGGTTCTAATACATGGAATGTTTAAAAACATTGGATGTTTAATACATGATATATGTATGAATAGATGTCTGCGGGAACTCCTCGTTGCTTTAATACTGAATCCCTACATCTTTAATACACGATCCGCACGCGGAGCATGCAATAAAAACGGCACTGTAAGGGCAACCTTGGAAACCCGCTCGTCCTCACGACGCGCTGTGACTGCACCGGCCCCCCGGTCCGCGAGACCAGCCCCGCGATGCGAGCGCTCGCGCACTGCGCGTGTTCGAGACCAGCGTGGACTCCTGTGCGCGCATGGACGAGGGCGCGCTCCACTGCTCGCAGAGGACCCACTCGCAAGTGGCCTGGATCCGCCGAAAGGGGATCCAGGATGTCTTACGTCGAGCCAAACAAATGTTTGTTTTTTCCTGACGTTTGCGAGTAGGCGCTTTGCGAAAGAGGAACGCGCTCGGTGCGTGTACGTGCAAGTCGGGCCTGTCCCCCTACAGGGGGACTTTGGGCGAAAATTCAACATACCCGAAAATGCCCCAAAAATGCTAAGAAATCGTCAAACATAGTCCCCAGGATATCTTCTGACTATTTTTGAGCATTCCTCCTGTAGAGGGACAGGCCCGACTTAATCCCACCAGCCCCCTAGGCGTCGGTGGTTTATGGAATTTCCTCTTCCACCCCTCCTTCTTCCCCTTCAGGGAAGGGTTTACGCCTCCCCCTACCCCCTACCCATGGACCTGGAGGGGGGGGTCGCGAGTCGTCAGGGCGTCCAAAACGGCCTCGGCGAGGAAGCCAAAATTATCGATGGGCTGGTGGAGATTCTTTCTTTGTAGCCAGCCGCATGCGAGCGCGCCGACGGCGTGCAAGGTCCGAGCGGGCCGCGCGAGGTCCTAAATTTCCTAGCGACGAGCAGGCCAACCGCCGCAACTCACGCCGTGACCAGGAAGGGGCCGAAGGGGGGGGGGGGGGGCAGTGGGCTGCGGGCGGCTGGTGGGGATTCGTGGAGCGCCAACACTTGCACGTCCTCCCTTCGCTCCCGACTCCGGTGGCCACGCGGGGGCGCGCCAGGCCCCAGCGCGCAGGCCAGCGCCGGAGGCGGGAGGCGGCTGGGGAAGGGGAGGGGGGTCCGCGCCGGCCCAGGGCCCGGAGAGAAGAGCGGCGACGAGGGGGCGGGCGCGGCAGACCTCCGCGCGAGGCCGGCCCCGACGAAGGATGCGTCTTCTGCCTATCCTTCTCAGGTCGGGCCTGTCCCCCTACGGGGGGATTGATTTTCGACAGGAATAAAGAAGACGCAACAAAAAACGCCAAAATGGTCAAAGAATACTCCAAACAAAAATGTCCCCAGACGAAAGGATCCTTACGTCGGAGGTCTGGGCCCCAGCCCAGACCCCCGACGTAATGATTTGTTCATTACGTCGACCCCCAGAGGTCCCGACCCCTTCCCCATGACCGGCTCTGCATCCTGAGTCGTTTCCTGACGGCCCCGAGGCCCGGTGAGGGCCTCCAGAGGCCGAAAATGAAGGAAAACCCTCCGTCATGATTTTTTCATCACTCGAGGGGGTCTGAGAGAGCCCCTCCCGGGGTCCGTCTACAGTACGGGTCTGGACCCCGGATCCGCTTCCGAGGGCCCGAGGGCCCGAGGGCCGCCCCTTTGGAAGGCCGAGAGAGGCAGAGAAGACAGCCTGCCCTCCCAGCCAGCTCGAGCTGGATTCTGGATAGGCACAAACATCCACCAAAAACCTACCAAACGCACCAAATATGTGCATTGCCCATAGCGCCAATGGCTTCTGCCCTTCGATGTCCACCCGATTCTGAAGGGAATGCCCCTCATCTGTCCTCTGATTCGCCCTCAGAAACAGAGCCTTAGTTTTTCTGTACATTTCTGAGGGCACCGGATGGTCAGGGTCGCCAGAGCCGATGCCGGGCCACCTCAGACCCCCCGTGCCGGCTCCAAGCTGGGGGGGGCCCCGAAGGGCCGGGCGTGGCTGGAAGTGCCCCTGGCCCAAGGGTGCCCCCCGCTTGTCGCTCCACCCTGGAGCCCCTGGGGCCCTCTGGGCCTCGTGTGAGGGGTGCCTTGGAGGCCGCCTGGGCTGCCCCGAGAACCCTGGGGGCACCTTGGCCCAGGGGCACTTCCGGCGGCACCCGAATGGGGCCGCACCCACCCCAGAGATCCGACGTCGTGTTTTTTTCAATACGGGGTCCCCGGAAGTCTCGACCCATTCCCCAGGACCGGCTTTTCATCCTGAGTCGTTTTTTGAGGGTCCCGAGGCCTGGCGAGGGCTCCTAGGGGCCGAAATTTGCGAAAAACCTCCGTCTTGATATTTTCAAAACGTTGGATCTCTGGGACAGGGTGCCCTCCGGCGCAGGGGCCTCTGGTGCGCGCGGCCCCTCCTCGAGGAGCTGCGCCGTCGCCGCGCGCCCGGCGCGCCCGCGCCGCAGCAGGTTCTCCCCGTGGCCGCCGGCGGCCGGCGCCGCCTCGGCGCCGCAGCGCAGCACCTGTGGAGGCCTCCCTGGAGGGGGTCGGAGTAGAAGGAGGAGGAGGACAAGGAGGAGGAGGACAAGGAGGAGGAGGAGGAGGACGACGACGAGGACGAGGAGGACGAGGAGGAGGAGGACGAGGAGGAGGAGGAGGAGGAGGACAAGGAGGAGGAGGAGGAGGAGGAGGACAAGGAGGAGGAGGAGGAGGAGGACGACGACGAGGACGAGGACGACGAGGAGGAGGAGGAGGAGGAGGAGGAGGATCGAGCCGCATCGCCGATACATCGGCGATGCATCGGCGATGCATCGGCGATGCATCGACTGCAGCGTCGAGATCGGCGAGGCATCGGCGACGTCGACGTGAAGCAGATCTCGGGCGGCACATCGAGCCGCATCGGCAATGCATCGGCGCTGCGGGCGCGATCCTCCGACCCTCTCCACTCCGACCCCATCAAGGAGGCCCAGAACCTGAGCGTCGCTGAATCGACCAATCCCTATCCCCACCGGCGTGGGCCCTGGTCCCACTGGCCGATCTACATCCCCCAGACCCCCGCGGGTCATGAAAAAATCATGACGGGAGGCGTTTCGTCATTTTCGGCCTCCGGGGACCCTCGCCGGGCCTCGGGGCCGTCAAAAAACGACTCAGGATGCAAAGCCGGTCATGGGGAAAGGGTCGGGACCTCTGGGGGTCGACGTAATGAAAAAAACAGTACGTCGGGGGTCTGGGCCCCTAGAAGGGGATATATGATATATGCTGTTCCCTTCGGGCTTCGCGGGGCCTGTCCCCGGGCGGGTGGGATGGTGAGGCTGAGATACCATGGTCCAACGGGGATGGGGATCGGTAGGGCGGCACTACCTGATGCGGCGCACACAAGGGGGTAGGAGTAGGGTGGCAGGCTTCTTAGAAGCAGGATGCTTCTTCAAAGGCGCTGGCCTTAGGGCCGCTTCTAAGAAGCCCTCGTCCCTCCTCCTCCTCCAAAGGCGCCGGCCTTAGGGCCGCTTCTAAGAAGCCCTCGTCCCTCCTCCTCCTCCTCCTCCTCCTCCTCCTCCTCCGCCTCCTCCTCCTCATCCTCCTGCTCTTCCATCTCTCCTCCTCTCCTACCCTTATTTTGTTTCCGTCCTACTGAAGGACACATCCGAGAAATGATTTCCAGCACCCCAAAAAAATAGATCAAAACAGTGTCTACCCGACACGCTGGCGAAGTGTCGAACGATTGTCGCCTCCCAGGGCCCGATGCGTGAAAACCCTCCAGATTCGGCACAGCCATGGCGCTCCGAACTCTCTCTGGCTGGCGATCAAGGCCAAAGTCGGTTGGAACACCATAAATCCTACCCCCCTCCCAGGCCCCCGACGTAATGATTTTTCATTACGTCGACCCTTTCCCCAGGACGGGCTCTGCATCCTGACTCGTTTTCTGACGCTCCCGAAGTCCAGCGAGGGCCCAGAGGCCGAAAATTCAGAAAAAGCTCCCGCCGTGATTCCTTCACTGCTCGAGGGGTCTGGGCCCCTTCGCGTGGCTGCGAGCACCAGCGACAGCGCCAGCGGCAGCACCAGCCACGCGCGCGGCACGCCGCGGCGCCCGCGCTGCCGCGGCCTCCGCCCGCC